TTATTATATCAAGATCTGGCAAATATATTGATGCCAGAAGGCTTATGAAATGGTGCTGTTCAAATTCCATGCATGATCTGAAAATTATCTACTTGTGTTTAATATAAGGAAGTCAAAACAATAAAAATAAATATGCAGTTAGGGGTGATAAGGAGAAGAATTCTGATACAGATAAAAGAGATGTGACATATAAAATTCAAAAGGGGCTGGGTGCAGTGGCTCATGCTTATAATTCCAGCACTTTGGAAGGCTGAGGCAGGTGGATCACTGGAGGTCAGGAGTTAGAGACCAGCTGGGCCAACATGGTGAAACCCCTGTCTCTACTAAAAACAGAAAAAAGTAGCCAGGCGTGGTGATGCACACCTGTAATCTCAGCTACTTGGAAAGCTGAGACAGGAGAATCGCTTGAACATGGGGGATGGAGGTTGCAGTGAGCGGAGATTGCACCACTACATACCAGTCTGGATGACACAGCGAGATGCCATCCAAAAAAAAAAAAAAAATTCCAAAAGGCCAAAACACCTGGGAAGAAAATTAACTAAGGGTATAGGATTAAGTAAAAACCAGTATACTGGTAATAGATATGGGTATTTATGCAGGGTTTTGAACATAAGTAGGTAGCAGGACAGCTGTCTGTAATTCAGGGTCATCATCTGAGGTGTTTTAAATCTTGTTCGGCTAGCTAAACTTCTACCTAGATATCTATGGCACAAGAGCCTTGCAATTCTCCACAATGCTGATGACAAAAGAAATGAAAAAATTTTATAATTGGTATTTCCCATCTGTTTCCCAAGCTATCGTATAAATGCCATGTGAGCACAGACCGGCAATATCTGTAGGGACAAGGAATATCTAGCAGATCGTAGACCCAGTAAATCTAAATGGGGTGAACATTTTGCAAGCTCTTCAAATGCCTCTTTCTGTCCTATCTGCAAGGAGTACTACACTTGTATTTTCCTCTTCACTAAGTTAGCAGTTTGCCACATCTATACATTGAAGTAATATCAAGTAATTGAAGTAATATCAACTGCCACTTATTAAGCATTTACTCTGTGCCAGGCATTCTACAATACTCTGTCCAGGAATTATTTCACATACCTCTGAGATGAGTACTAATTTGTTAATTCCATTTTACAGATGAGAAAACTGAAGCTCAGAGACACAAAGTGCCTAACTCCAAGTGCTACAGCTAGCAAATGGTAGAGCAGGGAGCCGTACCAATAACCCAGGTGCATCTGACTCTACAGTTCACCTTAACGCAGCAGCACTTGAGGCTGTGCAGAGCCCCTGCCTGAAGTGCTGGGTACTGACCTGAGTCCTGTGAGGGCTTTCACTGTTAACACATTCTGCAACCTCATCGCGGCCCCTGCAGTTCCCAGAGACTCTCAGTTTGGAAATCTGAGAATCAGACTTGGCTGTTCCACCAATTCCCTGTGTGACCCTGGGCAATTCACTGAACCTCTCTGATCATGTTTCCTCCTCCCCAAAATAAAAACAGCAACAACCATGGCTACACTTATTATTTATTATAGGTTAGGGAGTGATATAGTTTGGCTGTGTCTCTACCCAAGTCTCCTCTTGAATTGTATCTCCCGTAAGTCCCACATGTCCTGGGAGGGACCCAGTAGTAGGTAATTGAATCATGGGGGTGGGTCTTTCCCATGCTATTCTCGTGATAGTGAGTAAGTCCCACAACATCTGATGGTTTTATAAAGGAAAATTCCCCTACACAAGCTCTCTGGCCAGCCGCCATGTAAGACGTGACTTTGCTCTTCCTTTACCTTCTGCCATGATTATGAGGCCTCCCCAGCCATGTGGAACTGTGAGACCATTAAACCTCTTTCCATTATAAATTACCCAGTCTTGGGAATGTCTTTATTAGCAGCATGAGAATGGACTAACACAGTAAACTGGTACCGGGTAGTGGGGTGCTACTGTAAGGGTATCCAAAAATGTGGAAGTGACTTTGGAACTGGTTTACAGGCAAAGGTTGCAACAGTTTTGAGGGCCCAGAAGAAGACAGGAAGATGTGGGGAAGTTGGGAACTTCCTAGAGACTTGTTGAATGGCTGTGACCAAAATGCTGACAGCGATATAGACAATAAAGTCCAGGCTGAGGTGGTCTCAGATGGAGATGAGGAACTTTTTGGGAACTGGAGCAAAAGTGACTCTTGTTATGTTTCAGCAAAGAGACTGATGGCATTTTGTCCTTGCCATAGAGAACTGTGTAACTTAGAACTTCAGAGGGATGATTTAGGGTATCTGGGGTAAGAAATTTCTAAGCTGCAAAGCATTCAAGAGGAAGCAGAGTATAAGTTTGGAAAATTTGCAGCCTAATGATGCAATGGAAAAGAAAAACCCATTTTCTGGGGAGAAATTCACGCTGGCTGCAGAAATTTGCATAAGTAACAAGGAGCCAAATGCTAATCACCAAGACAATGGGGAAAATGTCTCCAGGTCATGTCAGAGACCTTCATGGCAGCCCCTCCCATCACAGGCCCAGAAGCCTAGGAGGCAAAAATGGTTTCCTGGGCTGGGTCCAGGGCCCCCCTGCTCTGTGCAGCCTAGGAACTTGGTGTTCTGCATCCCAGCAGCTCCAGCTGTGGCTAAAATGGGCCAAGGTACAGCTCAGGTTGTGGCTTCAGAGGGTGCAAGCCCCAAGCCTTGGCAACTTCCATGCGGTGTTAAGCCTGTGGATGCACAGAAGTCAAGAATTGAGGTTTGGAAACCTCTGCCTAGATTTCAGAGGATGTATGGAAACTCCTGAATGTTCACGCAGAAGTTGGCTACAGGGGTGGGGCCCTCATGGAGAACCACTACTAGGGCAGCGTGGAAGGGAAATGTGGGGTTGGAACCACCCCACAGAGTCCCCACTGGGACACTGCCTAGTGGAGCTGTGAGAAGACAGCTACCATCCTCCAGACCCCAGAATGGTAGATCCACCAACAGCTTGCACCGTGCACCTAGAAAAGCAGCAGACAATGCCAGCCCTGAAAGTAGCCAAAAGTGGGGCTGTACCCTGCAAAACCACAGGGGTGGAGCTGCCCAAGACTAGGGGAACCCACCTCTTACATCAGTGTGACCTGGATATGGGACATGGAGTCAAAGGGGATCATTTTAGAGCTTCAAGATTTGACTGCCCTGCTGAATTTTAGACTTGCATGGGGCCTGTAGCCCCTTTGTTTTGGCCAATTTCTCCCTTTTGGAATGAGTGTATTTACCCAATACCTGTACCCCCATTGTATCTAGGAAGTAATTAACTTGCTTTTGGTTTTACGGGCTCATAGGTGGAAGGTGCCTGCCTTGTCTCAGATGAGACTTTGGAGTGTGGACTTTTGAGTTAATGCTGAAATGAGTTAAGACTTTGGGGGACTGTTGGGAAGGCATGATTGGTTTTGAAACTTGAGGACATGAGATTTGGGAGGGGCCAGGGGCAGAAGGATATGGTTTGGCTATGTCTCCACCCAAATCTCACCTTGAATTTTAGATCCCATAATTCCCACATGTCCTGGGAGGGACCCAGTGGGAGTAATTGAATCATGGGGGTGGGTTTTTCCCATGCTGTTCTCACAACAGTGAATAAGTTTCACAAGAGCTGATGGTTTTATAAAGGGGAGTTCCCCTGCACAAGCTCTCTTGCCTGCCACCATGCAAGACATAAGACGTGACTTTACTCCTCCTTTGCCTTCTGCCATGATTATGAGGCTTCCCCAGCCATGGGGAACTGTGAGTCCATTAACCCTCTTTCCTTTATAAATTACCTAGTCTTAGGTATGTCTTTATTAGCAACATGAGAATGGATTAATACAGGTAGTTTAAAGGTTTAGCATTTAAGCCTCAGGACAATTTTCTGAGGTAGTTACTAGTCTTATCAGCTTTCAGAAATGAGGAAAACAGATCAGAGGTTAGGAACCTTGCCCACAAATTATGCAGGTCATAAGTGGCTGGGCAGGATTTAGGGCTTGAAGCCGGGTCTGTATAACTCTTAACTACCACGTGTAATGCCGCACACTAAGGCTGGGACAATGCAGATTCACTTAGGTCATTATCCTACCACTGTGAAAGGAAAATAAATCTTGGGGCTCCAAGATCACTAAGGTAAAGGGAAAAGTCAAGCTGTGAACTGCTTAGGGCAAACCTGCCTCCCATTCTATTCATATATTTCTGCTCACCGAAATAAAGGCATATCTGATTGCTTCCTTTGGAGAGGCCAATCAAACTCAAAAGAATGTCACTATTTGTCACTTACCTACCTACGACCTAGAAGCCCCCTCCCTGCTTCCAGTTGTCCCGCCTTTCCAGACTGAAAAAATGTTCATCTTACATCTGTTGTTGTCTCATGTCTCCCTAAAATGTATGAAACGAAAATGTGCTCTGACCACCTTGAGTATATGTGGTCAAGACCGCCTGAGGCTGTGTCATGGGTACATGTCTTCAATGTTGGCAAAATAAACTTTCTAAATTAACTGAGACCTGTCTCAGATTTTCAGGGTTCACTCCACCTCCACAATTTCTGTCATGTCTGGTTCATCTGGTACTATGACTAGCCTATAAGGTTTTGTTTAAACCTACTTACCTTTTCCCAACAAACACATGCAGTTTAAATGGGAACCTGTCACTGCCATTTTAAGTGGGAAACCAGAACCACGTCATAATGACGAGGAAATCGTTCCCCCAAAGTGTGCAGAAAATCAAAGATAAGAATCAAGTATAGCCAAACACCTGTGGAAAGTTCGGAGATTGGGGCCTGCTGTCCTTAAAAACAAAAAATGAGGAGAGCCAGTGTTTGAGACCTTGGCGACATTCTAGAAAGCCAAGCTGCGCCCGGCCCCCTGGGATCAGGAAGACACCTGAAAGGGGATGCTCCTTCCCGCCACCCTGCTTAGTCATTCATCACCGTCCCCCACCCCCGGGAACACCACCTGTTGCGTTCCAGGCCAAGGCGGCCCAAGGTCCCCGCAGAAGGGCAGCGGCCCCCAACCCCAGCCCAGGCCCACTCACAGCTGCAGGAACAAGGGTGCGGCAGGCAGACTATGGCAGGCGGGGAGGCCCAGCCCTCCCTAGCTGCCCACCGTCCCCGCTCGGGAGCCGGAGTCGTCGGACCGGCCTCCTGGAGCCACTTCCGGGCCTCTCTAGGAAGCCTGGAGGTCTCGGCGTCTCTATGATGCGCAGGTGTCTCGTTCACCTTTACCAGCGATGGGGCGCCAGGAAGTTCGCTCCTTGAATTCCCCCACGTTCCCTGGCTGTGCGTTCCGCCATAGCGGGAACCCTTTTAGGGCCACATCTTCCCCCACCTGCCCTGTCTGTGCGTTCCGCCGTGGTGGGAACCTGTTAGGGCCACGTCAACTGCTCTTCCCACCTCCAATGTCTGCTTTTAGACTTTCACCTCCATCTTTATTTATTACCAAGGCCTAGCACAGTGCCTGATAAATAGGCGCTCAGGTCAGCATTGCTTGGGTGGATGGATGATGGATAAGGCTCTAAAAGGCGACAGAATATTCACTCTCCATGTACCTCTTTAAGTCTCTTTTATCTCTGAGTTTCCACATCTATGTGTGCCCATATGTTTTCCTGTGTCCCTAATTTTCCTTATTTCTCTTTGTTCTGGTCGCCAAGCAGGCAGTAATGCCAAGACTAATCTTTGTTGCTGAATGAACCAAGGAACGCAGAAAGTTGGTATCCTCACTCAAAAGTCTCCTTTTGAGGCCCATCTTTTGTCTCCTTATCATGAATGTGGTTCTGTGGATAGTTGCAGACTGTACACGTGTATGGACATGCGTCCTGGAATGGACCCCTGGCTGGGGAGGATTTCATTTTGGTGTCTTGGAGGATGGAGGTTTTGACTTCATATGCTGCTTTTACTGATAGAACTTGTCCCAAATGCGGACTCAAAGAGGTTCATATCAATTGAATGATTTACCACTCAGTTTTCACTAAGCACACACAGTTATAAGGACAAACTCAGGTCCTAGGATAGAAAAATTAATGAAGGCCCCGTGAAGAAAGCAAGAAGTGCCAGTCCCTGGCACTGGCCTCTCTCATAGGATGTTCTGACTCTTCCTGCCTGTCTTGTCCTCACCTGTTACCCAGGCATAAGTCATAAGAGACTTCTTGTACTAAGCAGTCTTAAGGAACAGCTTTGCAGTGGCTGCTTAGGATACATAAAAATTAGAGGAGAAGAGGAAGAATATTCAGGGGGCTGAGAGACCAGCTATATGCTCTTGAGACCAGCAGTCAAGGAAGAAAAGACCCACTGAGGATGCAGTAAAGAAGACAGATTTCCTTTGGGGGATTACAGGATCCTCTGAAGGATACCCAGATTTAGAGTGTGTGGATAAACATGAGAAATGGTGAATTTAAATGTTAATATTCTTGTGCCACCAAGGACTCTTCTAAAATATAAGCAGGCGTGTTTTAAAGGAAAATTACAAACTCTGTAATTGCTTCCTTAGCTTCCATCGTAATTTAGTGAGTCGATTTTATAAAGGTCTGACCAAGAGATCTAAGATAGAAACGACTGGAGAAAGAAATTAACTTCAACGTGAGTCTGTATATGAGTGTTTGTTTAGTATTGTCTTCCCCCAGTAATACATCCAGGCAGTGGATGCATCTCAGAAAGATCAGTTTGCCGTCACAATTCCTCACAGGTGTGAAGTATTTTATTTCTCACTCTGATCACCGTCCAATGCAGTCTGCAGGGACGGGAAGAGTGCTGTGCTCCACATAACCACTCAGGGATCCAGGCTTCCCCCATTTGCTAAGCCATCATGTTCAACTCTTACCTGCCAACGTCACTACAGAAGGGAAAGTAAGAGCTTGGCTTTCCCCAACACTTTTCACTTCAAGGCTCCTGCATCCCTTTGAAATTCTTCAATCTCTTCACAGCCCTTAGCTTATCTGAAATTATCTTGCATATTACTATAATGAAAGCTCCGTGAATGCAGAGACCTACTTGATTGATTGGTGTCTCTCCACTGCCTACTATAGTGTTTGGCATAGAGACAGAATTTTTTTTTATTTGTGAATGAATGAGCAAGTGACTATATGTCGCATTTCTGGTTGTCCCTGTTCAAATCTCAGGCTAGCAAACGAGACCTTCTTTTGGCCCAGCTTGGATCAGAAATCATCTCTAAGGCAGTCACATGAGAACCTTGCTATCCAAAAGTATGGACCAGTAACATCAACATCACATGAGAGCTTATTAGAAATGTTGGGTCTTGGATCCCATTCTAAGCTTAATAAATACAAATCTGCATTTAGCAAAATCCCTAGGTAATTCCTATGTATAGTAAAGGCTGATAAGCACTGCCCTAAAAGTGCTATGACTTAGCGGTAGTACCACTACAATTCTCTGAGGTGGGTAAGAGAGCCCTTGTAATAGTTCCACACTGCACCTGGAAATCAGGTGAGTTTAAGTGACTTACCCAAGGTCACAGAACTAGTAAATGACGGAGCTGTGATTAAAAGCCAAGGCTTCTGACTTCCATATCCTTCACATTCCATCTCTTTCACTATGCAGCTCTCTCTCCTAGATAAACCTATTTTCTTTCACCAATAAAAAATATATAAAGGGGAATAAACAGAAAAAAATTAAGCTATATTTAAACAGTGGTTAATGGTTTCAATAATTGATTTTAGAAAAGAAAACAAGCATTTATCACATGCAGTACATTTCATAAAATGGTTTTCCCCATTACATATTAAAGAACTCTCCAAGTAACATAATGTTTATATTTTCATTTATTCAGCAATTAAGCAACTTAATATTCTTTTAGAAGCATTTATAGCACTTATTAAGAATTATCAAGCATACTATTTGGGTCAATGGTTTTTCTTTTTTCCTGTTAAAAACTTGTGAAATAACTCATTATTATTACCCTTGCTTCACTCAGTACTGATTAAACTAAGTGTTTAAATAGTGCTGACTAAACCTACATGTTATTGTGAGTGTCCTGTCCAAGGGCTCTGTGTTCAGTGCTCAAGCATTTGGGGCTCCCCTAGAAGGACACAAAGGACCCTTTGAGACAGTATAGCTTATATTTGCCACTTTCATGTCTCAGTGTTTTTGGAAATTGAGGAGTCAGGATACCAACTATGTTCATCAGGTCTCTTTGGGTTGCAAATCATACAAATCCATCCCAATATAGATAAATCAAAAGTAGGGATGCTTGGCTCCTGTAACTGGAAGCTCAAAAGGTGGATCTAGCTGTCGAGCCTCAGACATCATAGAGTCCTCTCTCCTTATCTCTAGGCTCTGGATAGAGAAAGGTTAGTATAGAACATGTCAGATGTGGTTTTCCCCAAAGAAGGGATTTTTGGCACACACCAAATAATATCTCACTATGCCAATTAACAAAATCAGTTTGTGCTTTGTGGAAGACTGCCAGTTCTTACTCAAAATGTCTTTCCCTTCTTCCATAATAATAGTGTTGTACTTGCACATGACCATCCAGAATAAAAGCTCCACTTACCAGCTTCCCTTGCAGCTAGACGTGACCATGTGGCTAAGTTTTTGCCAATATAATGTGAGTGGAAGTGATACGTGCCATTTCTGCATCACATGCCTAAAAGGAAATTCATTTCTCTCTTTTCTCCCCTCCTATGGACTGACACTGAACTGTGACTCAGCTCCAGCCCTGTAGGTGAAGATAGTACCCCTATGAGATATTGGAACAACAAGATACAAGGAACCTGGGACTTTGAATGACCTTGTGGAGTACAACTGTCTCACTAGGCTCACCATTCTAGATTACCTATACTGTTATTTATGATACTATACATTTTTAATAAAAAGTTTTGTTGAGATCATTGTAGATTGACATGCCATTGTAAGAGAGCTCCTGCATACTCTTTGCTCAGTTTCCCCCAATGATAACATTTTGTGAAACTGTAGTATAATATCACAACCAAGATATCAACATTGATACAGTTGATAGATCTTACTCAGATTTCGTTTTACTTGTACTCACTTGTATGTGTATGTGTCTGTGTTTAGTTCTTTACAATTTTATTACGGGTGTTGGTTTCTGTATTAAGCCACTGTGTTTTGAGGGTTTTTATTTTTTATAGCAGTCTAGCTTTTATCCTCATACAAGACAGTAGAACAACATGTGCCAGGAAAGAATGATGTATTCAAAGATGGAAGACTCAGATGTATTCTTCTCACTGGTCTGTAAAGAATAACTTTATTAAATGATAGTCAGCATGTACTGGGCACCTGCTTTGTATCAAGCATCATGTTAAGTGCTGGGACAATGCAGTGAGAGTTAAGACAGTCTTAGGTACTACAACTGCAGTGGTTTTGTTTATCATCCACCGTATTGCCTATAGCCTATTGGTCTTCAGCAAACTGAATATAAAAGATACTTATTCCATAATGACCGGATCCTCCAAGAGACATCTGCTCCCAACCTGCTTCTTTTAAACCCCCTTCACAAAATGATGCGCAAACCCATTAATACTTCCTTCTTGGATGTGGGACCTCCTCCTAGGAGGGAGTGATGTGTCTCAGAATAGTCTCTGCAAGGAATTCTGGTGTGATTCAACTGCGAGAAATAACCACCATGTCTTAGTTTCAGTTATCCCAGAAACAGACCTTTAGATAAGGATTCAAGGGCAAGTAGTTTATTTTGGAGGTCATCCCAGAAACTACCAGTAGGGGGGTGGAGATGTGAGACAGGGAAGGGAAGGAAATCAGGTATCACTGAGGACAACCAAGCTTAATACTGCTGGGGGCTTAATCCTTCCATAAACTGGCCCGGCGCGGTGGCTCACGCCTGTAATCCTAGCACTTTGGGAGGCTGAGGCGGGTGGATCAGGAGGTCAGGAGTTCAAGACCAGCCTGGCCAAGATGGTGAAATCCCATCTCTACTAAAAATACAAAAATTAGCTGGGCGTGGCAGCAGGCACCTGTAATCCCAGCTACTCGGGAGTCTGAGGCAGATAATTGCTTGAACCCAGGAGGCGGAGATTGCAGTGAGCTGAGATTACACCACTGCACTGCACTCCAGCCTGCGTGACACAGCGAGACCCTCCTTCCAAAAAAAAAAAAAAAAAAAAAAAAAAAAAAAATTTCATCCATAAACTGAATCCTTCTGGAGAAAC